ATGAAATCAAAGGAAGAGAAATTCACCACTCATTCCCAATGACTCTATTCCAGGTGGAGCTCCTCGTTCTTCTGTTTTCGCATATTTCTCTTCATATTATGCTGGAAAAAATGCAAAGAATTATCCTGTTATAGAAATTATTTATCTGAACCTTGGAGAAAGATCAAAATGCTTCGTTATGCACTCACATCCCCTACCCCTCCAAAGGAAAAAAAATTAAAAATAAACCAATCAATAAATCTTCTCTTGAATCTGCATATTTATGAGTTTTTCCATCTATTCTTAACCTTCATGAATCACAGTAACCTGTCTAAATGCATCTTTGTGCCAAATGCAGCCTCACACTGTCCGCCTGGACCATAAAAACTTAACGCTTCTCAAGCAATGGACATGGCAATTTGTTGTAATTCGCCCAGTTTGCTCTGTCTTGATGATAGCGCTTCAACTTCTTGGAATATATCCCAGTTGGCTCAGCTCGACATTCACCATGATCTTGAATGTTTCAGTTTCTTTGGCCTTGTATTCCCTCGTGATTTTCTACCATGTTTTTGCGAAAGAGTTGGCACCACACAAACCACTTGCCAAGTTTTTGTGCGTCAAAGGCATCGTCTTCTTCTGTTTCTGGCAGGTATGCTTATCATATATAACCTTTCGAAATACCAGTTGTAAGATACCAAGTGACCAAGGATTGAATGGCGTATAGCATGCATGTTCTTTGCTTTCTCTTCTTCTACGAACATTAAACGATTATGAAATGATTAATCAGATATATTTTCCGCCCTTTTTCCAGGGAATTCTGCTTGACATTCTTGTAGCAATGGGAATAGTTAAGTCGAATCATTTCTGGCTTGACGTCGAGCATCTCCAGGAAGCGCTACAGAACATGTTAGTGGTTGTGGAGATGGTTTTCTTCTCTCTTCTGATGCAATATGCATACACTGCTGCACCTTACCGCACCGCTTCAGTTTCAGCCACCAGTGACAAAAAGAAAGAATGAATGGAAATCTCATACGCGACGAACAACGTTATAGTTGTACTGTATTCTAGTTTACACTGGTGTCGATTCATGCCGAGACTTCGTCGCATTATATTTTGGCGTGTTTAATAAATATTTGGCATAAATGTTGCACCAGACGTTGTTTTGAATGTTGTTGAAAGGCAAGTAGATGCTAATAAGAGATTTTATAATTCGATATTTTTCTTGAGAAATGTATATTTAGTCTCTGTTTGGTATGGATTTAAATTTAAGTCAAAGTTAATCGATATTTTTAACCACATATTTTATGGGACAATAACTTTTTAGTCACACATTTAATCAATTTTTATCGACATTTACAAAAAAAAAAAAATTAATTTAATTCTCACCAAACAGGGGCTTAAAGCTTGAACGATTTTTTTATAGCACACTAGTCGAAGGACGTGTGCTGCAAGTAGGGTTAAGAATGCGAACACGAGTATTTTTCAATTATTAATACGTAGATATGTCAAAATTTCATGGGCATGATTTTGTTGTACAATCACACATTCTCAAATAAAATAATATTATACGTAAATAAAAAACTTTTCATTCTTTTTAATCATTCATTCTCCGAAAAAAAATACTATTTCGAAAATTATAATCTCAAATAATGGAAGCCAAACATGGCTTAATATGCTATTGCTTGTTAAAGATTAAAATCCTCTAAGTCAAACACACCCTTCATTTACGGTGTAATAAGGGGGTATAAAAATGTAAGATATTTAGGATTAATTCTGGAGGAAGAAAGGCGATGGGGATTCTAGAAGAGCTTCGATGGACCGCCATGAAACTAGTGAACGTCGGAAAATTTTCTGTCGACTCCGCCATTAATGAGTCTTTTAAAGGTCTGACTCCTCCTTCATGTATATGAATATATAGATCTTCTGGGTGAAATTGAATTATGGATTCAATTAATTCAATTAGATTATTATGTCTTCCTCTGCTACTAATTCTTATTAGTACGAAGAGAAATCATGATTTTTTGATGAAATATTTCGATTTATGATTCAATACTATAGCAAGAAATATTCCTTTCAATTTTAGGAGCAGTCTAAGATTGTAGCAGATGTTATTTAGGGTATTACTTGTTAAATATTGTTGTTATCTCTTGAAAATTTCTTCACTTGCCCAATATCGCTTTATTAGTACAAATTTATTGTGAATTATCTTTGTCAAAATGATGAATAAGCATAAATGACTGAATATGGGCGATTCATTTTGGACTGAGATGTCGATGAATGCTGGTAATTGATGATCAAATCCCAGTGAGCATTTAAAGAATCTTTACGAGTCTTTTGGATATGAAATGTTAGCTTAGATTTGTTCATTGTAACGGTAACCTGAGAATACTGAGGTTTAAATGCTGAAATAAAAGTTAACTATAAAGAGAAGAATTTATTGAATAAGCATTATGTATATATTTGAAGGTTTTCTACGAAGAATCTCTAGTGGACGAACTCTTCTTCTTAGGATTGATCTTCAATTGCAGTGCATCTTCGAGTTTGCTGGATAGCTGGAGTGAGTGGTTAATAGTTTGTTAATTAGCTCCCTTATTGGATTCATTTCCCTTATTTAGGGTCCGTTTGACGGGGCTTCTGAAAAGTCAAAAGCTGTTTTGAAATTAAGAAACTACTTTTCAATGTGTTTAAATAATGTTTTGAAAGTGTATTGTCCTGCTAGAACTTTTGGAGGAAGTCAACTTAACGTAGCTTAGGAAGTTACTGTACAAGAAGCGAAAGCTACAACAAAAGCAGATTATCTGTCAAACATGCCATCTTCAGGTTCTTGGAAGCTTTTGACAAGCTGATTTTATGTGGAAGAGCTCGGCAAACATCTTAATTTAACTTGGCAAACAGGATAATACCCTTGGTCTTTAATGGTCCGTTCTGTTTTGTCGGTTAAAAAGTAAAAGTTTAAAAGATAATAATGCCCCTTTTATCAACCTATCCCGACGAACCAAACTGCCACACAAAGACTTGGGAAATTGGATTTCCATATATATGTTGGTATGAATTGCACTGGCATGGGCAGGACTGCAACCAACAAATTTACCAGACTCTATACTTGTTCACTTTCACTTTATCTTCTTCTCATCTTGCTAATTATCTGTAGGTGGAAAGCAAGTCTATGCAAATGTGAAGGAAAAGTTAAAGGGTCTACCCATTTCACCCCATTCTGATGGGAATAAAAAGCAAAATTATGTGGCAGTGGAAGAGATGCAAGCTACACTAGAGAAAATGCAAGAAGATGTTACTAACATAAAGCGTTCTGATGGGAATAAGAAGCAAAATTATGTAGCGGTGGAGGATGAGCAAGCAACACTAGGGAAAATGCAAGAAGACGAGAATAACATAAAGCAGCAAAATGACATAATCCACAGAACAAAACAATTGGAACATGTGAAACAGTTCCCTGACGACCCTCTCAAGAGTTCAATCCATGAGATAACTGGTCGGAAAAAGATTTTCATTCGTTCCCGTCTGTAAATAAGGCAGATATGCCAACCAATAATCAGAAGAGTTGTACTGAATATTGTTACATGGTAGCATGGTGATGTCTTTGAAGAAATATGAAATCAAAGGTTTAGCATATTCTGATGTGGAACTGTAGTCCATTTGGTACAAGTACAACAGCCCCCACCCTGAAAAAAAAATAAAAGACGACTTTCTTCTTAATTTCATTTGCTCAAACAACTTTGCGAGGACCTTGATTCCTGAAAGGACAGATAGAAGCAACTACTTTCACCTAGCCTGAAATGTTGCCACCCCTTGAGCACGTGGAAGCTTTGACAAGATTTTGATTTCTTTTTTCTACGTTAATTTAGAGTCGGACCTACCAAATCACCTAGCAGAGTTTTCATATAATGCCGTAGATTGGTACAGGCACACATCTAAGAAGATAAATATTGTAGGGATTTCCGGCATATCATGCACGTCTTCTGTCTTTTGATTGTCAATTGAATCAACATGATAAAGATAGCCTGGTTGCATCTCTGATCGATCCATTAATTTTCAGGTACCAGTGAATTGTTTTCCTGGTGCAATGTCCCTATCTTCCAATGACTTGGGTTTCTTGTATAAGGTCTCACGTTTTACCTTTTTGGCTGTCTTAGAAACAATGTTGGAAACTACAACTCCACCTGCACTCACAAGCAATAACCTAAAGGGCGAATTAAGAAAAAGGCCTTTGATGGTAGACAAAGTGTGTTTGGTGAATGTTCAATAGGTATTATCAGCATATGATCTTGTACTAATGGTCCTTTAGCAAGTGCGTGATTAGATGAGACTCCAGATTGGGACTTGACAAACAAAACCAGCATTCTTTGGACCTGAAACAAAGCAGCCATTATTGTAGTTGTTAATTTCTATCACACACAAGAAATACCACCACAAAAGTAAGGGAGAAAGTCAATATGGCTGGACTTATGGATTTTGAACCCATAATAGCAAATCCTACATTTCTTTGGTGGTTTTGAGTTATATTGTTGAATCTCAATCAATGGCCAAAAAAAAAAAATTTGTTATGCATCACTCACGTGGGCATCATCAATTTTGATGGTTAAAGGAAGATGAAATTAATCTTGTTCACATTCACCGAACAAACTATGGCGAAAAAAAAAAAAAAATTGTTCCTTCCATATTATTTTTACTACCTCTGATTGTGTATTATCCTTTAGTAATGAGGTGAAGATTGTAATTCATTAACATTTTCAGTATCTCTTCTATAGAAATATCAAAAGAAAGATTGATAAAAACGAAAAATGACTTCCTTACTAATCTAGTACTATGTTTCACTTGTTCTTCATCATATCTCAAGTACGGACATTATCAATTTTGATGACTAAAGGAAGATGACAAAAAATTCAAAATGGGTGGAAAGATGAGAAAAATAAGTAGAAATATTGGAATGATAAGTACACCACAATGCTATATTTTCTTTTTCATTTTTAGTTTTTAATGGATTAGGAGTATAATTGTACAATTGTTGTGGTGTATTTATTGAAAATTTACTTCAATTGTGGCGTGAATATAATGTGGTGTACTAAGTAAATTTTTTGGTGGTAATATAATTACCCTAAAATAAAGTTTAAACATTTAAAAATGCAAAAGACTACTTTAACCTTCCATGTAAAATCAAATTCTAACCCCTTTCTTGCATTTTTTCAATCGTCTTCTTCACACTTTCATCATTCGTTCATGAAGACCTTTTCTCGTGCAATTTTCATCATTTGACTTCTAATTTCATCCAATTGATTCCGTAAGACATTCGATAAATGTTTCGTGGTCCGGATCAATTATTTTAAAATTAAAATTTAGTCCCCAAACTTCACAAAGCCCATAAAAATGATGACAAATCACACGTACCACTTTCATATAACGACTTCAACGTTGTTGTGAAAGAAATAGCGACATTGAACCCATTATTATGCAAAAAATCGTTCTAGAACAAATTTGTAGAATTTGAAGTCGTTTCAGTCCAAAACAAAATTAGAACGACATTGATGTTCTTTTTTTTATTCGTAACGACATTGATATTTTCCTGTATCAAACACACGAAACAACATAACGACATCAATATCATTTCAGTACAAATTTGTCGTTGTTGAAACCGTTCGAGATCAAAATATAATGGAAACAATTTTGATGCCGTTTCTCTTAATACATAACGACAATTATATCGTTATAAATAAAGTAGTTGTAATAGCATAACATCGACATCGTTCCAGTTCAAATGGTAACTACAATGATATTGCTATCGTTTCTTTTCATATATAACGATAACAGTCGTGTTATATGTACATTGTTGGTTACATTGAGATTTACACTCTTTTATGTGACTTAGATTTACATCATCGATCTTAACCACAACCATCACATCGCTGTCCAAATTTTTGCCACATAAGGAGAGTGTCAAATACATTGTCAACCAACAATGTACATATAGCTTTATTTATAACGATAATTATATTGTTTTGACACAAAATGTTGATTTGGTCGTCTACAGTTACCCGGCATGCCTCCGACATACGTAGGATGAACAATTAAGGTATTCAAACGGGTTAATAACACTTGAATGTGATGTGAACTCACGTAGCAATAGTAGCTACGAAACTCAAACAAGATTGATTCAACCCAAAAAAACCAAGAAATCAACGTTTAAACTTGATTCAAAAATATTGAATGAAGGAACCAAGACAATTGCCGACAATATGTTGACCCCGTGATCAAAAGACTCAAGAATCTCACTCGATTTGTTTAAATGCCACAAGAAGTGTTGGATTTTAAGGGCAAAATAATAGAGAAATCAACTCAAGTATTTAACGTGGTTAGGCGATGTGCCAACGTCCACAATGAGAGAAGTGGAGATTTTATTCAATATGAATAATAGGGTTACATCATTAGTATTTATACTAACCATAGCCCAAGCCCAACCCCATACAAGACTTTAGAGCCCGTACAAGAAAATACACATGTATTGTACTACGGGGGCAACGTCCTTGGCAAACAAACAGTGAATTAAACCTACAAGGCTGATGTCGTCGCTCCGCTCTGCTTCGACATCAATCATTTTGATCCAATAAACTTGTGTTTCACTCTATATGAGCCACATATACAACAATAAGTAATCTTGATAAGTTCACAATTAATTCAATGAAGAATAAGAAGAAAGAAATATACCTTTCAATAAAATCTCTCAAATTGTGTGTTTTACAATGAATATGATGAGTTTTATTTATAGGGAATTCATAAAACCTAACTAGAAATGAAATTAAACTCTAAAAATAACAAAATATATTACGAAATAAAGTTTTAGTTAAAATAGAAGATTACGCAAAATTTGGAAAAAATGCGTCCAGAATTGCACTATGCGGTCGCATAGGCTTCCTGCATGCGGTCACATAGGCCAATTGATAACCTTCAATTTTGATTAGGTATAGAGGCATGCGGCCGCACCCAGTTTTGTACTATGCGGTTGCATAGTAGTCCGTTCTTGCCTCCAAGTTTTGAGTTTATGATTCCAAAACATTCCAACTTGTTTCCGCTTTCATGCCCAACAACTTGGTCTTTGGCTTGTTAACTTCACCCTCTTGGACTCCATAGCTTGAACGAATGATTTCATGGCTTCATTGACTCTATTTGATCTCGAATTTGCTCTTAGCATCTTCTCAACATACATTGAACTCTAGATAGTTTGTTACCTTCCTTGGATCACATCAGAATGGTTTAGAAAGAGCAAACGAGAATATTTTCTTTCCATCGGATAAGTTCGAATGTGGTAGACTACCGTGAGAATATCTAATGTTGTGCATACATATTTCGAGTAGGATCAAACCCACCTGATGACCTTTTTTCGTCATCCTAGGTGTTTGAGGTCGTGGATGGTTGAATTGACAGTTTGAGCCACAATTATATAACTTTCGTTATCTATGAAAAGCGAGACATCAAAATCATTTTAGTTATGTTTTACACTGAAACGATTTCAAAGACGACAAATTTGGATTGAAAAGATCATATGTTTGATACAGAACGTAATGAAAGAAAAAGATATCAATGTCATTGTAATTATGTCTCCAACTAGAACTACTTCAATGATGACAAATTTGTACATAAATGATTTCTCATATTATGTGTTCAATGTCGTTATTTCTGACGAAACGACCTCAACTTCGTTATGTGAAAGTAATACATGTGATTTTAATCCCACAAATTAATGAACGGCCGACGCATGCGACTTGAACTATTTTAGAACTCGAGAACAAAAGTTCATGTTGACACGCGGGCCACAACCTTCTTTGCGTGCTCATCGTGCAATATGTTTGTTGTAACAACTTCAATGTCCTTTTGTGTTAAGTATAACGACTTCAATGTCTTTATGTGAGTTAGTATATCATTAATGTTTTCATACCAGAATTACATATCTTGTCTCAAAAACGATTTCAATGTCCTTACGTGAAAAATTACAATTTTCTTACTGGAACGATATCAATATCGTTCTGTGTTTTAGGAAACATTACAATTTTCGTACTGGAACGACATTAATATCAAATATAAAGACATTCGTATTAACACAACAACATAAAGTAACTTCAACATCATTTCCATAGCACAAAAGCAATAACATCAAGAAAAAGAAACATAATGATTATAGGGTCCTTCCATTAAGTACAATATAATAAAACCACAAGTCACGATAATATTATAAAAGTTTCACAACCAGCTGCTTAGCCTATACAAGTGGAACGAAGATTGGCATAGTTACCATCGTCATCCGTTCGAACATGTTCATCCTCACTGTTGTTCTTCACAACATCTTCACCAAATTCTTTGTGATTTTCAACTTCTTCACTTGAAATTGTTACGCAAAGAAAAGTTTCTCTACAGACAGATACAAACCACTTCACATTGTCGTCACAATCAATGATGATCGGTGCTGCTGGAGCCTTACGCATTATAGGGACAAGAGCTGACATCTTTATTTTGAATAGTCTTGTATCGATATTCAACACCTCTCTTATTATATCATACAAGTTCGCATAAGAAATTGTTTCCGAAACAAGAATAGGCGTTGTTTTCCCTTTGCCATTCCCTATATATTTCCAGTTCCATACACCTTCAGCTGACTGCTCATATTCAACTGGATAGCAAATTGATATCCATACCGCATCATCTTCCATAACTACAGTTGAACATGAAAATTTTAAAATTTCATCAAATATCAAATTCCATACATTACTAATAACGAGATGTATGCCATTATGAGTTATAGAAAACGATATGTAAGCCATTTTGCACAGTAAAAAATGAAATGTATATTTCAAAGTAAAAAAAAGCAAATAGAATACATTTCACTTCAACAATAGGGTAAAAAGATAGGGTTGAGAAGCAATCCATATCAATCAAAGTTCTAATACAATGATATAATGAATTCAATGTCATTGTTGATAAATGAACACCATAATTACACAATACAACAACATGGAGAAATGATTCAAATAAATGGAGAAAAAATGTAGACCAAATATTGAAATTTAACCGTATCTTTTTTCTTCTCCAAATGCCCAATAATAATGTTGTAAACTTTGATTACTCACTTCAACAAAATAAGTGTTCAAGAGAATGACAATATATATTTTAGGTTTCATGAAGGAGAGAAGATGAAGATAAGGGAAGGAGAAGGGTTGCGCAGAGAAGTCGGAGCCAGAAGTGTAAGACATGGATGCCAAAATTGAATTATGGCTAAATGGGAATTGAAATGGGAATTAGGACAATAATACTTTTACATATAAGGACATTTTAATAACTCACAAATTCTATTTTTCATTTCTATGTATGTTTAGGCTATCTAACTAAAAAAAGATAGATCTTGAACTTTATAAATTAATTTGTCCTTCGACTAGACCTTTTAGATGAAACCCCCATTATTTGCAAACCAACGGAGAATATAAGCCCTAGAAACATTAGATATTTTGAAATCTTTACGTAGCGTATAGTCAACAACAAAGATCGGCCGTTCGAGTTAGCAACACTCTTAGGTTAGCCGTGTTGAGGAACATCAACTAATAAATAGACCAACATATAAGAAATTTTAATATGACTCAGGGTCCATCATGTTGAAACAAGTCATTTGATTCGATTAAGCCTCGAAAATTGAGCATATAAATTTCAAAATTGGTCTTTTCAAACCAAACATATTAAAAGATAAAAGAAACAAGTCATTTGATTCGATTAACACTCGAAAATTGAGCATATAAATTTCAAAATTGGTCTTTTCAAACCAAACATATTAAAAGATAAATTTCATTTGGATTAATCATCAAAATATAGATATGAATGACTGAACTAATCTTACCGTTGACATATTAAAGGTGAAATTTGAATGCAAATATAAAATACCCAGTCTTTAGCTTTCAGTAAAGTATAAACAAAAAATAAAAAGCGAAACTGTGGTATGTGAGATGGAAACAAACCAGGATAAGAACCATAAAGCAAACCAGGAGCTAATCTATAAAGCCAAGGAGGACCAAATCTACAACTCTCGTGGAGGGTATAGAAGGCAGCATTTCTGGCAACGACACCGAACCTGGATTTGGTCTCATCGCCCGGAATCCACTGTTTGAACCTCTGTACTCCGAAGATATTACCGATCTTGGTGCAGGCTGCAGATCCGTAATTGTAAGAGGTTGCAAAGGCATTCTTCACCGGAGCTGGTGCACATCGATTCACTACTGCTTTGATGAAATCCCTAATTCCCATTTCTCTCTCTCTGTAAACACGAGTGTGTGTCTGTGAAGGAAATTGATTGGAGTTATAAAGAATGGACTTGCGACACGTACGTTTAACTTTACACAATGGCTACTCTATCGTTTATCTGTTCAAAATACTTTACACAATCTTTTCTGCAGCGTAATCGAAAAAGTAAAGCAAAGCAAAGCAGGGAGGACTCCGAGTCTCCTTATTATCTCTTTTGCTTTACTTTGTGACAGCTGTGCATATACAGTAATCTTCATTGAAGAATGCTTCTCGTAAAAAAGCAAGGGAATGAAAATTTTGGGCATTTCAATCATTAAAAATAGAGGAAATTAAATAAATTTTCAATTTCACAAATCCAATAACACATTCAACATTTCCAAAATCAGGTTTTAATTAATAATTTAAAAATATTTTTTATTTTCTATCTATATAGAAATTGACCACAACCAAACCCTAAATCAGTCTAACGAATTCCTGCCCTACTCTCTTTCTCTCTCACCATCGCCCGCCAGCCTCCATTTCTCTCCATCCTCTCCTCCAACCACCTCTCTCCACTCTCTGACATTAGTTGGTGCAGCGTGGCGCCACCTCCTCCAACCACCTCTCTTCACTTCTTCACATCAGTCAGTATAGCGTGGCGACGCTGCTATTCAGGGTAGCGTTGCCACATTATCGTTTACAGGGAGACGACAGACGGCACAACAGTGTCCGTCGTGAACAGCAGAGTTTGAACTTACAACAGCGCTCACATCGCCGACACATCATCGTCTTCCACTATTTTCGGCCATCTTGCCGCTGTGGATCTATTTTTTTTTTTAGTCTCGAGGTTGATTTGTTGGATGGGTATGGTGGTTGTATGTTTGTTGTTGGTCGGTGGTTGCTGTGGTGGTTTTTAGTCAAAGGGTGGGTGTGTGGTTGATGTTTTGTTGTTGGCTATGGCGGATCTGGCGTATCAAGCGGCGATTTTGTTGTTGTTCCGTGTTGTGGTGTTGAGATCGTCGTTTTTTGTCGTCGTTGGAGTGGTAGTGGCTGTCGTGGTTCCGTGTTTGGTTGGTGTTGGCGGTGGATCGGGCGTTGCGAAGTTTGGATCTGAAGTTAGTGGCGGTGGTGGTTGTGTGTTCTCTGTGTGTGTGATTTGTGTGTTTGTTTTGACTGTGCGCGTGGATTTGGTGATGGTCACAAATGATTTCATTGTTAGTCACAAATGATATGAATGAATGTGAAAAATAATTTGTTCGATTTGTGACCAATAAACAATTTGTGACCATTGAATTCGATGAACTGTGCCAAGAAGACCAATAACCAATTTGTGACCAATGAATTCGATAAATTGTGACCCGTGCAAGTTGTGTGACTTAAGAAATACTAATTTGTGACCTAAAAATTATTAATTTGTGACCAATAAATTGATGTTTGTGACCATAAATTAAGTAACGTAACTTTTAAATTTTATGATTGTGACCGATGAACAAATTGTGACTTTTAAATTTTTAAGTTGTGATCGATGAATAAATTATGACCTAAGAAATTTTTGAATTGTGACCTAAAAAGTGGCAGAACGGTCATCAGAATTGGAGCAGTCGTCGGAATAGTCGCCGGAACCGTCGTCGGATAAGAGTGGTGATCGGAAAGTGGTAGGGGTGGGGTAATTATATTATATTAGAATTAAATATTTAATAATAAATTGATTTAATAATTCATTAATTATTAATTAAAATTTTAAAAAACCTGATTTGTGAATTTTCAAACTTGTTCTTGAATTTTTGAAATGGGTGAAAGTAAATACCTGATTTGTGTATTGTTCCCTTAAAAATAAAAGATAAAGCTTGGTGACCCTGCCCATCAGCTCATTTTCAAAATCCCGTTTTCAACCTCTCAAGTTTTGGGATAATTACAGAATCTCAAATGAAATCGAAATATTGTATTTTTAATGCTATTTTAAAATGCTCACGGCCTAATTTTTCATGTCATTAACAACGCGCCAAACGATGAATCGTAGCAAATGATACATCGCGTCAAAGTAGACCATTCTAAATTAGAATTTCGACGATATGTCAACTTTAAAAATTCTTCGACGATCGTATGTTAGTCGAATTCTTAAATTTCTTACATAATCTCAAAGCTCGTTTTGAGCATTACATTATAGACATATCGAATGATCCGAACGAATATCGAAAATAGTTAAATATACATTTTAAAAAGAAGCTGTGACTTGTATTTTCTTTAAATATTTACGATATTTTAGGAAAAACAATTCATATCCCATGTAAAACTTTCTCTTAGATCCGAATTTTTTTGACCTCATCCCCATGTAAAGTTTATAATGAAATGATGTAAATTGTAATGAGAAATTTCTCGCACAAAAATAATCAACGTTAATGAAATAATTAAAAAAATTTAAAGAAATACGAGTTATACGCCTTTTTTAACACGCACATTTAACTATTTTTTATGTTTGTTTAAATTATTCGATATGTCTATAGTATAGTTCTCAAAACAAGTCTCGAGGTAACGTATGCGATTTAAGGAATAGACTAGCGTACGATCATCGAAGAATTTTTTAAGCTAGCATGTTATCGAAATTCTCGAAATATTAGTTTAGAATGATCTACTTTGACACGCCGTAACATTTGCTACAATTGACCATTTTGCTTACCATTAATAAAATGAAAAATTAGGTCGTGAACATTTTGAAATAATATTAAAAATACAATATTTCAACTTCGTCTGACATCTCATAATTATCTCAAAAGTTGAGATGTTGAAAATGAGCTGATGAATTAAAGCGAGTTATCCTGGTTTTTTTATTTATTTTTTCCTTTCTTTTTTTTAAATTACTGCCCCATCACCCTGTGTAGCCCCTATAAAGCAAGCCCTATACGTTTACACGCCATTGATTTTCATTTGTCTCTTTTTCTAGTCCAAAGCTATTACCTAAATTCAAAAAAAATATCTTTCATCTTATTTGGAATAAATTTCAGAAGAAACCAACCCAAGTTGGCCACAGAATAACTTTCTCGAGAGACTCTTTCACAATAAACAAAAGTTCCGTCAAATGAATCCTAAAAAAAACCAACCCAAGTTGGCCGCGGAATGTGAAATAACTTCACTAACTAATTTTACAAAGAATGACGTCTTTACTTTCATCTCACCTTCGCATTCATACGAATTGTACAAGCGTGAGTTACGAGCCTCTTTGACGCTCTTGTTCAAATTACATTTTGAAATAATATTTTGATGAAAAATATATAGTTAATAAATAAGAATTTTTTTTGAGTTTGCATGTAATATTATTTTATTAAAAAATATGTTATTTAATATGAAGAAAAGAAAAATATATTTTAAAAATAATGAACGATGAAACAATGACCGTATATGTTGTTCGAATATTGCTATATGGGACGGGAGACCGAATTAATGGCCACGAAAAAGTGTAATGGTAAAGGGGGACGAAGTGCGCACGCTACGGATTCTTTGCTTTGGCATTGTACCTATGCACTGAGGCGTGAGAAATAAGTTTTTTTATTCCGCACCCCTTTTTCGTCTTGTAAAGTTTATTCACCTTAAATAAAAATTGAAATTGAAATAAAAAAGAATAATGTTTGCTGACATGTTGTCATTGAACAATCTAAAAAATAAGGATAAAACTATTTGTACATAATTTTCCTTACCGAAAATGTTAAACCTTCTCACATGTGTACAGGGCCCGCGTGAATAAAAAACTCCCAAAAATGTGGTCCCCACACCCGATTGTGAGTGTAGGTAAAATATTAGGTAAAAAAAATTATGTACATGTAGCATTGCCCAAAAAATAATTCATCATTTCAACCAATATTTGTTTGCCACAAACAACATTGTCAACAATGTTGTACAAAACCAGATGTTAAAATAATAATTGAATAAAAACTACATATTTCAGGATTCGAACCCTTGACGTGACAGTTTCAAGCAAAGTTGAAATTTTTCCACCCCTTTTACCACTTGCACTTAACCAAGCAAAGCTGGGGTTAATTTCACCTGATGTCTACCAAAAAATATATATATATAATAAAAACATTTTCATTGAAGCTTATCTCCCTCCCATGCAGGATTTCTCTCTCCAGGTTTTGCTTCCTCAACTGACGTTAACCACTAAAGCAAGGTGGATTTTAATCATTCTTAGTAACAACTTCAATGTCCTTTTGTGTTAAGTATAACGACTTCAACCTCTTTATGTGAATTAGTATATCATTAATGTTTTCGTACCAGAATTACATATCTTTTGTCTCAAAAACGATTTCAATGTCCTTATGTGAAAAATTACAATTTTTTTACTGGAACGATATCAATATCGTTTTGTGTTTTAGGAAGCATTACAATTTTCGTACTAGAACGACATTAATATCAAATATTAAGACATTTGTATTAACACAACAACATAAAGTAACTTCAACGTCGTTTCCATAGCACAAAAGCAATAACATCAAGAAAAAATAACATAATGATTATAGGGTCCTTCCATTAAGTACAATATAATAAAACTACAAGTCACGATAATATTACAACCTTAAGTTTCACAACCAGCTGCTTAGCCTATGCAAGTGGAACGAAGATTGGCATAGTTACCATCGTCATCCGTTCGAACATGTTCATCCTCACCGTTGTTCTTCACAACATCATCACCAAATTCTTTGTGATTTTCAACTTCTTCACTCGAAATTGTTACGCAAAGAAAAGTTTCTCTACAAACAGATACAAACCATTTCACATTGTCGTCACAATCAATGATGATCGGTGCTGCTGGAGCCTTACGCATTATAGGGACAAGAGCTGACATCTTTATTTTGAATAGTCTTGTATCGATATTCAACACCTCGCTGATTATATCATACAAGTCCGCATAAGAAATTGTTTCCAAAACAAGAATAGGCGTTGTTTTCCCTTTGCCATTCCTAGTATATTTCCAGTTCCATACACCTGCAACTGATTGCTCATATTCAACTGGATAGCAAACTGATATCCATACCGCATCCTCGTCCGTAACTGCAATTTAACATAAAAAAATTAAAATTTCATCAAATATCAAATTCCGTACAGTATTAATAACGAGATATATGCCATTATGGGTTATAGAAAACGATATGTAAGTCATTATGTACAGCAAAAAATGAAATGTATATTTCACAGTAAAAACAACAAATATAATACATTTCACTTCAGCTAATAGGGTAAAAAGAACAGGTTGAGAAGCAACCCATATCAAAGTTCTAATACGATTCGATGTCATTATGGATAAATGAACGTCATAAATACACAATACAATAACATGAAGAAATGATTCAAATAAATGGAGAAAAAATGTAGACCAAATATTGAAATTTAACATTATCCTTTTTTCTTCTCCAAATGCCCAATAATAATGTTGTAAACTTTGATTACTCACTTCAACAAAATGAGTGTTCAAGAGAATGACAATATATATTTTAGGTTTCATGAAGGTGAGAAGATGAAGATAATGAAAGGAGAAGGGTTGCGCAGAGAACTCGGAGCCAGAAGTGTAAGAAAGGGATGCCAAAACTGAATTATGGCTAAATGGGAATTGAAATGAGAATCGGGACAATAATGCTTTTACATAGAAGGACATTTTAGTAATTCACAAATTCTATGTTCCATTTCTTTGTATGTTTAAGCTATCTAACGAAAAAAGATAGATCTTGAACTTTATAAATTAATTTGTCTTTCGACTAGACTTTTTAGATGAAACCCCCATTATTAAGTTTGTTAGCAAACCAACGGAGAATATAAGCCCTAGAAACATTAGATATTTTGAAATTTTTACGTAGCATATAGTCAACAACAAAGATCGGCCGATCAAGTTAGCAACACTCTTAGGCCCTGTTTGGGAGAAATTTTAATCGGGATTTTAATAAAAAATCTAGCCGTTAACTATCAAATCAGCCACCATTTTTGACTTTCCCTCTCACAGGTGGAGCCCACGGGTTAACTTTAACGGCTATAATTTTGATTAAAATCCTACAAAAATTTCTCCCAAACACACTCTTAGGTTAGCCGTGTTGAGGAACATCAACTAATAAAATAGACCCAACATATAAGAAATTTTAATATGGACCCTGGTATCGGAGTCCATTATGTTGAAACAAGTCATTTGATTCGATTAAGACTCGAAAATTGAGCATATAAATTTCAAAATTGGTCTTTTCAAACCAAACATATTAAAAGATAAATTTCATTTGGATTAATCATCAAAATATAGATATGAATGACTGAACTAATCTTACTGTTGACATATTAAAGGTGAAATTTGAATGCAAATATAAAATACCCAGTCTTTAGCTTTCAGTAAAGTATAAACAAAAAATAAAGAGCGAGACTGTGGTATGTGAGATGGAAGCAAACCAGGATCAGATCTGTTAAGCAGCAAACCAGGAACAAATCTGTAAAGCAAATCAGGAGCTAATCTATAAAGCCAACCAGGACCAAGTCTACAACTGTCGTGGAGGGTATACAGGGCAGCATTTGTAGCAACGACACCGATCCTGGATTGGGCCTTATCACCCGGAAGCCACTGTTTGAGTTTCTGTAGTCCGCACATATCACCGATCTTGGCGCAGGCGGCGGATCCGTAATTGTAAGAGGCTCTGCAGGCGATGGAGCCGTAATTGTAAGAGGTTGTGAAGGAATTCTTCACCAGAGATAAACCCGGTGCATTTCGCTTCACTGCTTCTGTGCTTGAGCTGAAGAAACCCCAAATTCCCATCTCTCTCTCTCTCTCTCTCTCTCTCTGTAAACACGAGTGTGTGTCTGTGAAGGAAATTGATTGGAGTTTATAAAGAATGGACTTGCGACATGTACGTCTAACTTTACACAATGGCAAAGCGACAATGTCTGTATTGTATATCTATTTAAAATACATTCAATTTTTTCTTTCAATCTTCACAAAGTAAAGCGAAGCAGGGAAGACTCCGACTCTCCGAGTCTCCTTACTGTATTTTATCATTTGCTTTACTTTGTGACAGCTGTCTGCATATACAGTAATCTTCATTGAAGAATGCTTCTGCCTTCTTGTAAAAAAGCAAGGGAATGAAAATTTTGGGCATTTCAATCATTAAAAATAAGAGATAAAGCTTGGTGTCCTGGTCCATCAGCTCATTTTCAAAGTCCCGTTTTCAACATCTCATGTTTTGGGACAATTAATGAACTTCAAAATATTACATTTTTAATACTATTTTAAAATACTCACGACCTAATTTTTCATGTCATTAACGACGTGCAAAACGATTAATCGTAGCAAATATTACGACGTGTTAAAGTAGATCATTCTAAATTAGTATTACGAGAATTTCGATGATATGTCAACTTTAAAAATTCTCCGACGATCGTATGCTAGTCGAATTCTTAAATTGCTTACATAATCTCGAAGCTCGTTTCGAGCATTACATTACAGACATATCGAATGGTCCGATCGAATATCGAAAATAGTTAAACAAACATTTTAAAAAGAAGCCTTGACTTGTCTTTTCTTTAAATATTTAGGAAAAACAATTCATATCCCATGTAAAACTCTCTTAGATCCGATTTTTTTTTTTACCTCATCCCCATGTAAAGTGTATAATGAAATGATGTAAATTGAAATGAGAAATTTGTCGCGCAAAAAGAATCAATGTTAATGAAATAATTAAAGAAAATACGAGCTATACGCATTTTTTATGTGCGCGTAAATTGATAAAAAATAGTTTGTTTAAATTATTCGATATGAAATAATTAAAGAAATAATTAAAGAAAATACGAGCTATACGCATTTTTTAACACGCGCATTTAACTATTTTTTATGTTTGTTTAAATTATTCGATATGTCTATGGTATAGTTCTCAAAACGAGTCTCAAGATAACATATGCGATTTAAGGAATCGACTAGCGTACGATCATCGAAGAATTTTTTAAATTAGCATCTTATCGAAATTCTCGAAATATTAGTTTGGAATGATCTACTTTGACACTCCGTAACATTTGCTACAATTGACCATTTTGCTTACCATTAATAACATGAAAAATTAGATCCTGAGCATTTCGAAATAATATTAAAAATACAATATACTTCGTCGACATCTCATAATTATCTCAAAAGTTGAGATGTTGAAAATTCGGACCGCCACTTCTCTGAAAGCATGGTTCTTGCCCCACTCCCCCCTTTGAGCTCGTCCATTCGTTGGGTGATCCCTTGCTCTCACGTTCGAGTGTTTGCTCGTCGTTTNATTTTATTATTTCAACCAATACTTTTTTGCCACAACCAACATTGTCAACAATGTTGTACAAAAACATTGTACAAATAGAATATAAGAAAAGCATATTTTATAAAGTTCTTATTATTCTTTTTTCGGAATTTTATTTGTGCTTTTGCAATCCAGATTAAGGGTTGAAAATCCATTAAATATATTTGCTTGGAGTCCATAAAGATTTGCTTCATTTAGTTCACCTTCCCTCGAGGGACAGACTTAAGACGTATATTTTAAGACGAGTTAAATTTTAGAAAAAAGATCGTATAATCAAATATTTAATACAAATATCGATTGAAGTCGCGTTGACGAAATTTTATAAAACACAATTTATCACCACTGAATCTATTTTCTAAGCTAGATTCATCTTGTTCAATATAGAGCCATGCAATCAACAAGAAAACATCTCTCTATTTTGTTGTAAGTTGCTATATTGACAAGTTTTAGTGCAAACTAGACTACAACCGAAAAAACTCAAGCAGATTTCAGCTTTTAGTTAAGTAATTAACTAACGTCTTGATAATCTGACATAATTGCTGTCTGATTCAGTAAATTTTCATAGTTACTTACAATGTGAATGTACTATATACATTATGACAAGAAAACGATTAAACCAACCATTAGCCACCTCATTTCATATATGCAATTAAAACCAGCAAATTTGATCTAATGTTCACGGTAGGTATGAGTTATAATGCTCACGATGAGCGTGGCAACATCCAGTGTTGCCATGTGCATTTGGTGTTGCCACGACCACAATCAGCATTATAACTCATGCCCACCGTGAACATTAAATGTTAAAATAATAATTAAATAAAAACTCATATTTTCGAAATTCTACCAAACTTTCCACATTGCGAATTAATAATTATTTTACATGGGCTGTACAAGTCATTAACAAACTTTCCACATTGCAAATTAAGCCCCTATTTGGTGTGGCACAATATCTTGATGAAAATTTAAGTCTGAGTCAATAATAAATTTTAATCACACATCTCATCGGACTCACAACTTTTTTACTACACATTTCATTAACTTTTATTAAAAAAATACTAAAAATCTGAATTTTAACTACACCTAGCAAGGGCTAAATATCAATGTATTGCGTACATAGAGTGCGGAAAGTCTTCACGGGGTGCTGTTGACTGACGCTAACACAGAAGCACCTTCCTCTTTTCGTATCTGGTTTTACAGCATGTGTTCCAGTTATGGCTCACATCCATTATTGTTGCTAGGAAAAGCAACTTCCTCACGAAGATGTTCTGTAATAAGCAAAAGCCTTGCCAAATGGACATAAATTCACTACCGTACATTGCAGTTCATTAAGAACATGTCAACCACAAAGCACAAGATAAGGACCAAAGGATGCACGAAATTACTTAACGAGGAAGTTAGGCTATGTTTGATAGCCTCTCTTTTCCATGGAAAATGGAAAACATTTTCCTTTTC